GCATACTTACAACTTTTCACGTCTTCTGAAATTCACGTGTACAAAATTCCATTAAGATCGCAATAAAAAAGATTTGTATGAAAAAACAAACAAATTTACGTTAAGAAAAAATAATAATTTGAATAGTCCGATAAAAACACAATATTTCAGTGGAACATGCATGGAAATCGGTTTAGCTATTCTTGAGACAACGCCCGACAAATTGACACAAACAAATTAAAAAGACAAATGTGTTTGGTTGTATACCGTATATAAACGCATGTCAGATTACAAAAAAAGTTTGTTTTTTAATCACAGAAGCAAATTATATTTACACAGAATAATAAAAGACGAAAAAAATACGTGTTGCATTACGTTTGAAACGAGTCTGTTTTACATACAGCACAGTACTCCAAACAACCTTTAAATGTGGCATTGGGAGAGCTCGGCAAGCTGTGTGAGGAAGCGCGCTGCGGCCTTCATTTCCTTGTGCCGGGCGGGGCTACTAATGGGCATTGGGCGTGGCGAGGGGCAGGGCGGTGCAGGGCAAGCCAGCGCCGTGTCACCCTGGACCTTCCGCAGCGGGCTGTCCGCGGACGAGGCGACATTTCCTCCCGTTTTTGGCGAAAGCTCTTTAAACTTCCGTGAGCGCGGGCTCGGCCTGCTGGATGAAGGCCTACACACTGCGGAGGCAACATCACCAACAGAACATCCATGGTTTTGTTGAGCGATGACGATTCTCAACATCTATGTTCAGAAAACATCGACCCCAAACCATCGATGCATTTCAACCTGGATTGGTAACCACTGAAATTCACGAGGAGGGAGGGGAATTTAATTTGAAAGCGTTATCGTGAGTTACTTTCATTAAGATTTAACTGACAAAAAGTTTAAAAAATCACAATGACAATTTTTGTTTGGATGGACTATTATTAAATCCCTGGTATTGGTATATCTTAAAAGGATGAAATTTCTTTCACACACACACTCAACATCGCTCGCAGGATGCATCTCAGCTGTAACTGCAGCCGGAAGTTCGCTCCACCGTGAGAGACAGAAAGGGGCTTCTAGAATGGACTACACAAAGAACTCATGAAACGTGCATTCGGAACCGAAAACCTAACATCAAATAAAAATACATTCTCCAAACATAATAAATAATACATTCAATACCTTCAATAATCGACTCAACTTGTTTAGTTTCAATAACACACGAAATTAATAAAATTAATTTGCGGCTAGTAAGACGAAAGCATTTATTTATTTATTTATTTATGTCAAAAACAGTTAACAATTGAGTGTGACGTGCTATGGGGGGAACTAAATTGAAGTTACATTTATTTTCAGAAGCAAAACAAGGGGCCATTTCAGCATTTGCTCGAGGATCAGGGAAACTGGACGAAAACCTGATCGAGATGGGGGTTATTGACCCAAACGCTGAAGTACAATACAGAAAATTGGTATTCCCCGCCGATGGTGCTCGGTGAGAAGACACACCCACCCACGCATTGGTCGCGCAACGCAAGGCCAAATATTGAAGCGTAGGGCCAAAGAGTAAATGCAGTAAACGCAGTACCATAGCCGAGGGCGTGACATGGTACAATACCAGGGCGCGTACCAGAAGGCGGAGAGAGCACTCTTTGTTTTGAAAATGATTTCATATACATCGATATTGCTGCATGAATGTCATTATAAGGAGAATGTGTAATTCTGACTTATTATAAGTTATTTTTTCATTTTCTGGGGGTTGTTCAACCGTAGAACCTAAGCATGAGGTGTCACTGTCCTAAGAGGACATGCAAATGTTTCTTGGAAAAAGTGGATAAATTATAATCGATCAATACTACTAAGCAAACCACGGGAAACGTAGAAATCAATCCTCATCCTAAGATGTGAAAAAACGAGAAGGAGCCGTGCTTCGCGTTTTTGGCGAGATAAGTAAACGGCTTAGGAAAAGTTGTCCGTGGAATGTAGTGGAAATACTCCCGTATTTGTAATAGAGGAGAGTGACAGAAGTCGCGCTGTAAATTGGACTCAATGCATTGGGAATGAGAACCATTCGATATGCTTGGCCGTGCAGGCGTAGGGGCGGGGAGGGGGTTGTGGATGGAAACGCGCCCTCGCAGCTCACGCCCATGCCCAGAGGCGCAAAGTCGTCTTTAAATACCAAGCTCATCCGGGAAGTAACAAAAAGAAAGTACCGATTCGTGGGAAAACTTTGTTGTGGCAGAAACAGCATATTTTTTCATATTATCACCCGATGTGAGACATTGGTCTTACCCAGGGATCAACATTAGTGTCAGTGTCGCAGTAGTTTGCCGTCTGTGAACCAGCGTCGTAGGTTGTCGTAACCCTATGGTAAAGAATTCTGTAGGGAACACGAGTTCGGGGCTACAGGTGGGAGTTGGTGAGCACGTGAGTTCCCAAGTTACTTTTACTTTCATAGCCGCAAAACACATTTTAAATATGCCTAATGTGGATTGTGATGCATTAAGAGACAATGAAGACCATTAGTGGGGAATATGTGATTACGCTTATTCCGCGCATTAAGCTTTCAATGATAAACACATCAATTTAAGTAATGTATTGTTTTCACTTCAGTGCCTATTAAATCTTATTGTAATTTTATGCATCTCAATTGCACGACGTTTCATAGGCGAGTTACACAGACGTGTCGGCATTGCGTGCGACGCGGCGCCAGTTTCGGCCGGCGGACATAGCCAGGACACCGCGCGCTTCCTCGAGTTGAACTCTTTGGAGACGAAGAAGAATAAGAAGACCGCGGGCGTCTTGCGGCAGTCAGGCAGATAGCTGTCCTCGTGGAAACGGTGCTTTCGGCGTCTCTGGTTCCGCTGCCGCCGCCGCCGCCGCCGCCGCCACGCGAGGGGCAGCCCACAATGGGGCGCGGGGGGCTTTCGCCGCCGCCCATTGTCCCCAGGCAGATGCGCGCAAGCAGCGGCCCGCCGGGCCCCGGCCCCGGCTCCCTTTGTTTTTCCAACAGGGGCGAGATTTCCTTCCTTCGAGGAGCGCACCGTCACCTCACATCCTCTGGGCTCGTGGCAATCAAGAAACAGAGCACATGCTAATAGCCTTCCGCTGTTTAAAGCCTTGTGTGATGATCAATGGGATTAATACGTAGATGCCATCATTCTTTGCTTCACAGAACATTGGGTATCCCACAATGATCTTGGCATTTTCCAGAATCCCAACTATCTTGCAGACTATTGTTCTAGAGGAAGGAATCAAAGACGGGGTCCGCATAAGGAGGTTATTGTATTTACGGTAGAAACGACGTAATTTGGATTTGATTTATTACGTTAAAAACACTAAAAACTATTTGATATTTGGGGAGAGAACAATTGTACACGTTTCCCCTCCTTTAAACCATATTATTGAATGATAAGTTCCGAGGATAATATTTGAAAACTAAACATTTTTCTCTTCTCAGTTGTAGAAAACTTATTTTCATCGGTAAACGAACTACATATTCATTTTTTAATAATGCTAACCAAATAATAATCCGTACTGTTTTCTCCTCTTCTCCTAACACAATTGTCGAAAGGAAAGCTCGACGAAACGTGCGCCCAGTGAAGCAATATTTATAACCAGAAACAAAGGTCATCTCAGCATTAGCTCAATGATCTCTGGAAACTGGACAAAAACCTGATAGAGATGTGGGTCAGTGAACCCCGTCATTGTCCCATAAGGTGGGAATACCCCTTGTTTTGCTTCTGCACAAAAATGTTGCTTCATTTGTAAGTTTTCTAGATCTCGGTGGGAAATGTAGTTATTCAAAACCGTTAATTTCCTCGCTGCAGTAAGTCACCAGATTCCATGACGAAGGGCATGATAAAGGATAATAGTATATCTATAGCCTATTTTCTTTTGCCAATAGTTTTTTATGCGGGAGCGAAAATTTGCACAGTTTGCATAAAACGTACGTTGCTACTCGTTTCATAATTGAACTTAATATTGTAAATGTATTACGACAGACGTCCCAGATGTCAAGGATCCAGGTTCAAAATTCTTTGGTCCGACCATATCGCGAGGAGTTGTATCCGGTGGGGGCGGGTTGTTCTCCACGTGCGGAATGGACCTTGGCTCTCACGGCTTCCGTGAGAGCCAAGGGAGCAGATCTTCACGTATTCTCGAGCCCATTTCTAATTTAAACTTGAGTCGTCTCGTTACGCGTCTTTGACGTGTAGTATGCAATGATGCGATTCCAGTCTCTGAAAAGGGAAATGAGTGAGTATAGTCGAGATTGATGACTTAACACGTGGATGCAGATGTTTGTTAATGTTAATGTTGATAATGTGTATGTTGATATGTTAATGTTTGCTAAGTAATCCTTATATCATTTCTTCTTCCTATGTTACATGTTCAATACAAAATTACTGAACAGCGATGAAGCCTCAAGATGCCCATCTTAGTTCGTGCGCTCTGTTTTTTTTTCTCTTGATGGACCAGGAGCATGAAGCCTTTTATCCTTGTGTGGTAGTCGAGTAACCTTTGTCCGTCACTCACGGTTAGACTCCCTTCGGTCCACTACCCGAGAGAAGATGTCATTTGACACGCATAGGCTCCCTGATTTCGAATTACTTTGTTTTTTTACTCTTTAGAACATTTTTGAAAAAAGTGTGTTTTTATGCAACTTAAACTCGTTTTGGTCGACTTACGGCCAGCTGCAGAGGTGGTCAGCACCTCATTAGTTTCCCGTCCAGACAAATCGATTGACACACTTCCTAAGTCGCTTTATTTATAACAGTTTAGAAGAATTTTCGAAAAACACCCTTTTTGTTAAACGTTTTATTGCACTCATGAGTACGCCAGTTGCATGAGCACTCATGACGCGTTCTCTTTTCGTCGTGCCCATGAACCGTTCTGACTTGGTTCATGAGATTGGAGATGAGACGAGGTAATTTTGCGAAGAAGCAACCGGTATTGTAAAGTGTATTTTTGCACGCGACGTGTGTGCCCTGCGAAGGAGCGGAGCGTTGACGGGAGTGTGTGTTGTGTGGCAGATGAGCGCGGGCGCCGGCGGCGCGGGCGAGGCGGCCGCGCGCAAGCAGCAGGAGCGCGAGTCGCTGCGCGGCGTCATCCAGCAGTGGAACGCCAACCGCCTCGACCTCTTCGAGCTCTCCGAGCCCAACGAGGTACGTACGCCTGCCTGCAATTCACGCCTCACCGCACGAGTTTTGTGTTTGTTTTGTTTTGTGGTTTCTTTTGTGTGTGTGGGGAGGGGGGATTCAATTTTTGGGTGGAAACTAAAACTTCTTGGTATTGTTGTGATGCACCTTTTGTTCGAAACGTCACCGTTTATCGCGTGTTGGTTATAAGTTGAGTTATTACAGTGTATTTTGCTGCAGATTAAAAACAAAACATTGTAGAAAATTCACTTCAGAATACATTGTGGGGATTCTTATAGTAATGTTGTAGTTGTAGTAATATTGTATTTTAGTGTAATACATTATGTTTTGGTGATACATTGGTGTTTATTTAACCAAAAATGTAATACTTGGTCTTTAAATATAAATATTGATGCCAGAATTTAAATTGGTATTCTGATTCCGAGCCCGAAATTGATTTTGTGTTTAAATAAATGCACACGTGTATTATTGGTTATATCAATGTATTAACTTATAAAAACTGTCAATATATTAAACTTTTAACCGTGGGCTCCGGACACCTCTCGGTCCTTGGCGATACACAGGACCAATCCTTGGAATTACTAGGCACACGCTGAAAAATATTTTAAAAAATCGCCTTCATAGTATATTGTTTATGTGAGAAGAAGGTATTCGTTAAAAACGAAATGCTGCCATGTATTAGTATTGCAGATCTTCTTGGGCTGTAAAATGTTCCGAAGATTTGGGTTATTTCGCTTACCTCGGAAGTCCTCGAAACAAAAGTGCCACGAAGCCTTCGCCCCCCCTTTTTTTTCTTTTTTTTCGCGGTTTCATTAGAGGTGAACCTAGTTAAAAGTGGAATGAGCGGGATTTTCCGGAATCTGTATTAGTTGTGAGGGAAATTACTCATAAAATCGGGTGGTCATGAGAAGAAGCATAATAGCAACTGTTCAAATTTACTTCAAAGATTTACAAATCAAAAAGTACTTGTAGGTATTCGTTTCAAATTTAACTCAATATTGTAGAATAAGATATTTATTATTGCAATAGTTTTTATTAAAAGTTTATGCTTGTAAAATAAGATATAATCGTATCTTATTTAATACCGCCTACTGTACATGAACGAAAAGTATTTTTTTAAATTCAATTTATGTAAATAGTCGCCGAACGCAAGGCGTATATCGTCGAATACTATGAACTAAGCCTGCAGAGAAATAACTTAGGAGAAGGCATTATATATCATGGTGGTGGGAAAACTGAGTCAATCGGAAGAAAACAAGGAAAATTTGTTATGTGAACGTCTTCGAGAGCAAACTGGACCTCATGAATGGACGTAATCAATAAGAGTTAATATTTGTGTAGTCAAAGAGTCTAAAGTTTGAGTAAGACAGAAGGGGAGGAACACTATTATCAACTAATAATAATAATGAAGGAAAAAGGATTCAAGAAATTGATAAAGGAGGCCGCGTGTTGGTATTATCGTGAGATTAAAGAAATTTACAGTAATTTTAACTTTATGCGGAATTTATAGTTATGATAAGTCAATTGTTTTAATCTGGTTGTTTGAAAAGTAAGAAATGTTTGAAGGTTACCAGTAGTTGGTTTAGTTGCACTTCTTTATTTTGTTAATAAACGCTTTATTTTCAAATGAATTTAAATATTTATTTCACCAGGGTTCAGTAAGATTTCATTCAAACCAATAATGGTTCCTATTGTGGTTAATTATCAATCCGTAATTAAATTTAAAATTTTTCAGTGGTTATTATATTTTCCATTATTAATTAATAATCTACCTAATTGTCGATCTTTTGGGAGGCGCCTGGTAGCGCGTTGCTGTTGGGTGCTCATAGACCACAATTCCCGATGTGTGGGCGCGCGCTTTGCTCGTGGAATTCGCTCTGAGAGGGGTTCCGCGCAGAGTGGCGCTGGCCCGCCGAGTGCCCGGAGGAAGCCCTCGGAATGCGGGTGGGCGGCGGAGGGACCTCGCGCCCGAGGGGCTTCAGCCCGCGCTGTGCTCATTGCGGCCGCGCGCGGCCAAGTGCGTTTCTGGGCCTCGGTTTCCGTTCAACGCTCTCACACTGAGGGGGCAAAACTCATGATATAGCTAAACGCTAATAGTACGCATGCGGCAGTTGTATCGCGGACACAGGTATGAAACGACAGTGCGTTGGCAGAGCTTGTGTTCTCTAGGGATTCATGTGGAAAGATTTCTGACGTGATTATGACCGCACGACAGGAATGAAGTCTTCGAAGGCGGAATGGAGGAAAACATTGAAGATAGACGCATGGGACATTCCACTTCGGAAATCGTTAAGGAATTCGTTAAGGTTAAGGATCGTTAAGGAAGAAATTATTCCGAGATCCACTTGTCAAGAGTGTGTCCAGAATACCTTATTTCTCGCATCTCTCATCACCGGAAACGCAATGACCGTTGGCCTATACTTAATGACAGAGAGCAGCGGTGTGTGCGTAGAGATGTCAGTGCTAACAGACAAGCAACAACTGCATGAAAAAGAGCAGAAATCAACGGCGAACGTATCCGTAGGACAGTAGGAACGTAGGACCCTGCGTTGAAATTTGTCTTTAATGAACTATGACAGCAAAAGACCGACTCGAGTGCCTTCGCAATAAGAGCATCACCCGCAGCTCCTCTCTTGGGCCCGTAACCTTATCGATAGGACCCTATACAACTGGAAAGCTAGCGCTTGGTCAGATGAAAGTTGGTGGAATCAAAGTAAAACTAAGAATAGCTGCTACCGAAGGATGGGGATTTGTTTTGTGAAATTGGCGTTTATTATAAGGTGGTTAAAAATTTGCAGGCGTTTTGAATTTTGCTCAGTGGCTTCTTTTTTTAGATTTTTTTCATGCAGCAAATCTGCAACTGTAGCAGGCGACGGCCGGCTTTACTTCCCCTCCAGATGACATACTAAGGATTGGTTTGCCCTTCAAAATGTACGGCTTGAACTCACGTTTGAACCCGCGAACTTGGTATTACAGCCCGATATGCTAACCGTTACGCCATCGAAGCCTAGCTCTATACTCCGTTAAAAAAAAAAAGCATTGTGCTTTTGTGAATGTGTATGTTTATAGGGCCAGGGAGACGAGGGAGTAAAAATGACCGAAAGATCTTGCGAAGTCAATGGCCCATTGAATACCGTATTGATTTGGCACTCGTATGGTATTTATAGGGGAAACCAAGGAAAACTACCTACCGGAGCAGCGGGCAGCTAGAATTCTTGGGTCGAAAATCTACACAGTTGTGATTCGAACGGTAGGACTTCCCGGAAAACGGTACTGTAGAAACAGCGTAAAGAATGTAGGTGTTCTGGCCGGGATTCATGGTCACCTCATTATCTCTCTGATCCGTCACTGACTGCAGTAAGAATGTTCACGTGTTTCTCCTAAACAACATTGTAAATTCTAAGTAGGTTTTTTTGCACTTCTAAAAGTCGTGATCTTTGGTGCAGACTGGTGTCCATTTACGTCTGAAGTGGTAGTACGTTTTTTAACCATTTCGAAACCCTTTATAAACTGATCGGCGGCATTTTGTGTTTAAAAATTTGAAAAGGCTCTTATGGAACAATTTTAAACGTTATTATTAATTTTTTGATATATACACACATTTTGCGTTTATTACAATAAATTTCGTTTTCTAATTGTTACTTAAATGATACAATGAATAAATACGCAGACTGATTTCCAGCGTTGCCAGAGGGTTTTGACACCATCTTCCATAAATACTGTGGATTCATTCCCCAGTAGTCAGCATGCGAAGGGCAAATGAGGAATGAATGTCATTTACGCAAAGAAAGCGTTTTCTTCCGAAGGGCCGTCGTGTTAGGGCGTGCGTGGCGGGGGCGGCTTGGGCGATTGCACCCCTGGCTGCCCGCGGCACCCCCTCCGCCACGACGCGTCGCCCCCTCGCTCGGGCAGCGAGGCGCGTCTCCGCCCAGCCGCCAGATGGCGCCCCTCGCCACGCCGCCTACCTGCACCCGCCTGCCCTCCACGGCGTTTCAACCGCTCTTCGTGGTCGCTTTATAGTGGATGACGTACATGAATCTTATTCAGCAAACTCTCATGAGCACGTACGCGTGTAACACGATTTTCTCCGTGAAACGAACGGAATGTGAATTCCGACTAAGAAACGTATTAATACGGATATTCTTCTCAAAATCTTTCTAAACAATAGTTCCAAGGGAACGATATAATTTGTTTTTATATTTAAACTAATTGTTATCCGTTCTTATAGGTATATCATTCTTATATACTCGTACACACCTGTTGCTCTATTTTCTTGCCGGGACACAAATTTTCTTCGGGTTCCGGAGACTTTCGTGCGAGTAAGTGCCAACGAGGGTATATGGTGTAGAATACTGGGAAAACAGGATTTTTTTTATATGTACCCAGTTTATTTTGGCCTGTTCGAACTCCTACTAATGAGAGTTTGGTGTGCAATTGGTGGTAGTGGCACGAGCACACGATTTTAGCAGTTGCGAAAACGTGCGCCGGCGACTTGTTGCACGCGAGTGCTGTAGTTATGAATGAAAACATGATCGGTTGCCCTTTAGGAGGGTGGGGGAGTGAGTGAATTGCAATGCAGTTGTATTTTAAAACTTTTTGAATGTAGACAAATAACTAAAAGAGTTTATTGGGTTCATATTTCAGCGCTAGTTGGAAACGCCCCGTGATAATTTAAAATAAATAACGAAAGCAGATGAGCGAGCGCGGCAATCTCCACTAATGGTCTCGTGATGTATGCTCACATCAGATCCGTGGCTGCTAAAAGGTTGCCTTGTGTGATTGTGCAGCAGAGAAGGGACTAGTCTGACAGGTGGGAAAACGAGTGCGTGTAATGTCCGACGATGGCATTGCAAGAGGTGTGTCAAAAGAATCAACAAGTGAGCCAACTCATTGACGACATGAGCACACGGACATAACCTGCAGTTATACTTCGATTAAAAGACTTGTCACGCTGTCATCCAATCGGGAACATGGCAGTCATTACAGTGACGCCACTATAAAGTTAT